CCCCCCCCCCCCCCCCCCCCCCCCCCCCCCCCCCCCCCCCCCCCCCCCCCCCCCCCCCCCCCCCCCCCCCCCCCCCCCCCCCCCCCCCCCCCCCCCCCCCCCCCCCCCCCCCCCCCCCCCCCCAATCCTATTTTGTTTCAGCATTTGTTTTGGTTTTTTGGTCATCCTGAAGTTTATATTTTGATTGTTCCTGGGTTTGGTATAATTTCTCAGATTGTTATTAGAATTTCTTTGAAGGGAGAAATTTTTGGTTATTTAGGTATGGTTTATGCTATAATTTCTATTGGCCTACTTGGTTTTATTGTTTGGGCTCATCATATGTTTACTGTTGGTATGGATGTTGATACTCGTGCTTATTTTACTGCTGCAACTATAGCTATTGCTGTTCCAACTGGGATTAAAATTTTTAGTTGAATTGATACTTTGGCTGGTGGTATTTATAAGTTCGATTACTTGTTGCTTTGGGTTTTGGGTTTTATTTTTATTTTTACTATAGGTGGTTTAACTGGAATTGTTTTATCTAATTCTAGTTTGGATATTGTTATACACGATACTTATTATGTGGTTGCTCATCTTCATTATGCTTTAAGAATAGGTGCTGTTTTTAGTATTTTAGCTGTTTTTTTTTATTGATTTCCTTTATTTACTGGTTTAGTAATGAATTCTAAATATTTGTTGGTTCAGTTTGTTGTTATGTTTTTTGCTGTTAATTTGACCTTTTTTCCTCAACATTTTTTAGGTTTAGTGGGGATACCTCGTCGTTATAGGGATTATGCTGATAGTATATTGTTTTGAAATGTTGTATCTTCTTTAGGAGCTTCTATTTCTTTTCTTTCTATGGTATATATTCTTTTTATTATTTGGGTAGCTTTTGTTGAAAAGCGTGTTGTGTTAATAAATGATGATCCTCATGTCACACATCTCAACAAAGTAGTGAAATCAAATTAGGAAAAGTTTATGCTAATGACAATCGAGATCAATGGTCACATTCGAATTGATTGCATAATTTCTTCTTTTAATAATGCATTTTTATGTTCTTGGTCAACGAGTCAGTGCTCATTCGAACACGAGTAGAAGAAAAACACACATATAAACTACTCACCGGTATCGCCGGCGGCAAAGAATCGTTGTGTCTTTTCTTCATTGGTTGGGCAACAAACCTTTTTGCCACTTTGATGTCATTTCCGGTCATGCAGTGGTCGGACGTAGGATCAAGAAAAGCTGCCATCTAAGAAAACAAAGCGTGAACTTCTATAGTTTCTTTGGTGACCACATATACATGTAATTCAAGCAAGAAAAGTCTCAATGAATGCCTACTGTGAATTTATGTCAAGTACTCAGTTATTCTCGTTAGTTGCGAAGAGCAATGGATCTTTCCTCTTTCGCTTGCTTCCACACAGAAATGCTCAGAAAAGTTGAGCATATCTATTACCTGCATCCATGTTTCTTGAGCAGGCGACATTTTGTCAATACAATGAATTTTGAATTGGGCACGTAGAACCTTCATGAGTGTCGAAACAAGCAGAGATTTCGATTTTCTAGTTCCAGAAAGATATTTTTCCAGCAAATGAAGTACTAAATGTGCCGTTGCCATAGTCGGATACAGATTACCAGATAGAAGAATGGTAGCAAGAGCAAACGGTTTTAGAACGATATATAATGATTCGAGAAGATCCCATTCGTCATGTACAAATGTGAATCACTTCACCTTAGTGATTTGGTCCTTGGTAAGGCCATTGTAGAGCCGATCCGGAGAAAGGATAAAACTCTTGATAATGTCCCGATGAGCAAGAAGTCGCTCGAGCATGTAAAATGTGCTGTTCCAGCGAACACGAAAATCGAGAATTATGCCACCACTGCGTTGTTCGTTGGTAGTTGTACCGATAGATTTCATTTTACGGACATATGCATCAATGACTCCATGATTTCGAATGAATTTTACCGCTTGACGAACATGTGTCAGCGAAGTATAGACACCTAATAATACTTGGCAGTAATACTTAAGCAGCCACACAGTCGCATGGAACTGAAAGGATAAAAATATTAACACAAACAAAAACCGTACATAAAAGCAATTTTACTCGCTGTATTTGAACTGAAATCAGAAACTCAATCGTACCAACAATGTTATATCAGCAAGAAACATATAAGTATTTATTAGCTTGGCTTGTATCATAAGCGTTACTGCGTTACTCGAAGTTACTTAAACGCAATAACGCATGCGTTACTCCATTACTGGTAACGCAATAACGCATGCGTTACTGCGTTACCTGTAAAGAAACGGTAAAGCGCCACCCCTAGCTCGGACTATTTTTCGGTATTTAAATTCTTTGTTGATTCGTACATCTGCTTGGCATCGATCAGTCGCTGTTCATTTATTTGAGAGGATTTTGCTATTCTCTTCGACGGTAATTGTTGATAAACTTCTTGCTCATGGTCTAAACGAGCACTCTCTTCTTCTTTCTTGATATTCTCCACCCAAGACTATATATTTGGGTGGGGATAGTTGTTATAAACTGCACAAAATTTCTCTTGCTGCGCTGTATATATGATAACTTTTGGAGAAGTCATTATGATAATATTGACGTGATATGATTGAGACGTTGTCCTGCAATGTAGTCTTAAGCTCCATTTTTATACTGTTGTTCAATTCAGACATGTCGCTTTCGGACCAATTTGCCAAATGGATGCGTAATTATACACAGTGTACAAAAGTCACATATATTGTTTTATTTGTTCTATTATTCTAATTAAACATTATTATCTCTTTTGAATTTGCTATTTTACTATCTCTTTTGGGTACGCTCAGTTTATTGTCTCATATGGGGGTGAGTCCATCTTTCCTAAATAAGATTTAACATAAAAATTCAGGTCGTTTTCGATAATAAAAGAGAAAAGATCGTGTGACGATACGAAATGGCATCTATAGACTATACGAATCCGTATTCGAAATTTGCGGTAGAATAGTTCCTATTGTGATTTTGGTAGCACGGGGGGAAAAGCAGAAGATCCATGTGAAGAAGGGAAAGCGTAGGCGAAGAAACAAAGTCGAAGAACTTTGGTTGAGATATTTTTATTTCGCTTCAGCCATTTTAAGTTTGCGTAAGACGTTTGAATGTTTTCTAAACAACGATCGACCGCAGGTTTTAGCGAAAGCTTGTCCGTCCACGTAAAACCTAAGTATTTAAAGACATATAGTACTACTATAGGGATTTGCTGTTAAACGCAGAAAGGGAAAATGTCGAAAAAAAAGTAGGAAAACGTCGAAGAGGAAAACATATAGATAGAAACCACCGAAAGACACGATGTCGAATTGGACAGATGGTCATCAGGGAAAGATCGAAAGGAAAGGATCGATTCGGAAAATATCGAGAGATATTCAATATCTCTCGATATTTTCCGAATCGATCCTTTCCTTTCGACAGCCTGGAAACCGCCTGGAAACCCTAATTTCATAAAACTGGCTTTTCGGTAGATTTTTAGAACTTTTTCTAAAAAGAAATATTTCCACAAAACTCAGCATGGTCGATTATCCATAGTCCATCAGTCTTTAAGGCTACCAATAGTCACCGGGCGCCAGTCCTGGGACTCGTAGGAAATCCGATACAGCGCCCGAACCGTGGAAA